TTTTTTTCAGAATTTCATAATCCAGACTTTGCTCAATGGACAAACTGGAACAAACTTCCTGAGCCTTTCCCATAAGTTTGCACTGCAACAACAGAGACCAAAAATCTTTTGGCCAATTTAACGCAGCCGCTATGCGTTCAAAAGCAGTGAAATAAGAGTCCACCTCAGACTCACGGAAAGGAGGCACCAGGGTGATGTGCTTACTTATGTCAAACCCAGCAGAAACAGAGGAGGGTGTGCTTAGCGACATTGGTGCAGCAGGAGCAGGTGACCGTTTTTCAAGCTCAAGAGCTCTGACACGGAGATGCATTGTTTGCAGCTCTAACTCACTCTTGCGGGTCTCCACCTCCTTTATTCGAAGGGTTAGACGGAGATCCTCGGTAGTCATACCTTTGTGAGGATCAGAGACCGGGTCAGGACCAGCATCAGAGACGGCGCCTCAACAAACTCCGCCGCTGTCACATCCAATCCTGATGCGTTAAGGATTAATTGTGATTAAACTGAAGCTGTGCATTGCCTACTATTCTGTCTGTTACCAAAAATATAAATATTTGGGATTTATCGTGGATGAATATTTAACATTTGAAGAAGGAATAAAAGTTCAGTCAGACTCAGCTGGTAGAGCACTAGATGCAGTGATAAAAAAAGTTAGGTAATAAGATGTGTACTGAGTTGTACAGATCTTGTGTTTGCCCAGGATTAGATTAGATTATGCAGCAGAAGTTTGGGGTTATTGTCAACAACCTTACAGTGAGAAAATTCAGTCTAGAGCCCTGCGTTATTCTTAGGTGTGTGTAGAAATACCTCTAAACTGGCCCTATGTAGAGAGGTGGGCTGGGAACCATGTGAAGTTAGATATATTGGAGATATGGAGAGATTGTGGAAAAAATTCATCAATATGTCAGATCATAGATTAACAAAACAATTTTTTGGGATTATACCTGGGCCAGACAAATTGAGAGAAAATTTGGGGAGGTGGATTTTCAGGATATTTATAGAAATAACTTAAGATGTAATATTGGACAGATTAAATGGTTTTATTTTGAAGCCTATAAATGTAAACAAGCACTTGATATCCTACGTAAACCAAAATTACTAACCTGTATTCAAATAAAGGACATTTATGGAAGTGTTCAAATTGAATGCCTGAAAAATCAGAATCAGAAACTAGTGTTTTAGTCAAGACCACCTAACAGACCAAGGCAAGACCAAGCCCAAGGGAGGGTGAGACCGAGACAAGACCAAGACCAGACAAAAAAAAAAGTGTCCTAAAAGATGGAGTATTGTGTACACATGTACAGTGGGGGTATTTAGCCTTTCATAGTTGAGGTCTAACTATGATGTCAATTACAGGCCTCTCTCATCTTTTTAAGTGGGAGAACTTGAGCAATTGGTGCTGACTAAATACTTTTCCCCCCACTTTAGCTAACTTAAAATGTAGTGCTAATATTGACAAAGTCTTTGTTTGAGGGCAGAGGAAAGTATTTTGTTACAGATGCAGATTGTTAACGTTAGTAATGGTAAAAGTTTAAAGTTGTCCCATCGTCTCTGAAAGTGAAACACTGCAGAATGTACAAGTTGCTGTACGCTTTCTCCTGGTTGTTGTTGTTGTTTTACAATGATATTATTTATGAATAATGTAGCCAAATTTTATACTTAAAATTTTGAAGACATCCTTTACCGCTCCCAGAGAACCACTTTCCGGGAGTGCTGCTTGCAATTGACAGGGGGTGGGATGGGTGACAGCTGGTAACAAAAATACATAAATAGCAATAAGTCAGGTTTGGATTTGAATCAATAACTACATTTTAAATTCAATGAAAGCAAAGATGTTAACTAATAAATTGGACAATAATCTGACTACTTAGTGATATTTCCACAGTTGTGGTCTTGACTGGTCCTGAAATAAAATTCCGAGTCCTCAATGTCCGAGACCGAGACAAGACAGAGTACAAATGCTGTCGAATCCAAGATGAGACCAAGACCAGAGAAACTGGTCTTGAGACTGGTCTTAAGACCAAGACTGGTTTCAAGTACTACAACACTATCAGAAACATTTCATTGCCACTGTCAGTAAACAAGTTACAGATTAGGAATTTGCTCTGGTGTAATGGTGCGCATAAGCAAGGAGTGAAGAGAACTAAAGCTAAGTGGTTGAAGTGAGAAGGGTCTGCTGTGATTCTGCCTGCGCCACCTAGAGTTCTGGAGGAGTACAGCTCCTCTACAGGTCGGAGGTTGCAGTGCACACAATGTGCTGCAGTCTCTGTCTGTCTCTGCCTGTGGCCCCAGTGGACCATACAGTGATGGAGGAGGAGATGATGGACCATACAGTGATGGAGGAGGAGATGATGGACCATACAGTGATGGAGGAGGAGATGATGGACCATACAGTGATGGAGGAGGAGATGATGGACCA